CCCCCCCTCTTTTCTGAGTTATCAAATGACATTTGCTTATGCACAGCCGTGCACGTTTGTCTGTGGCATGAGGCCGCTGGAATGAAGCCAGGGATGGAATGGGCTGACTCAGTTTCCCTGACAGGCTGCAGGTACAGCGGCTGTAACTCCAGCATCAAACCGTGGCCCGGAGTGGCGCGGGAGGAGCCGTCTCCTGCTGCTTCTCCTTCGGATAACTCCGGCAGGTGCGGGGTGGGATCCGGCCGAGGATCACCAGCAGCGTGCTGTTCACTTGTGCCTGCCATGGAACAAGAGTTCTCCTGCTTCCTGGAGCCAGATGGGATTCTCTGGGAAACTCCAGAACCTCACACCAATCCCAACCCCATCGCTCCTGTCCGGTGCTGGTGGCTCAGCCCAGGGCTGGGCTGAGACTGTGTCTGCCTGAAAGCATTTCCACTTTAAAAAACTGCAGAGGAGGGTAGGGTGGACTGGAAAAATCAGAATTCTCCCACTATGGCGTGCAGATATCCCGGATAAAATCCATCTCTGGGAAGGACCTGAGCAAGGAGCACTTACAGGCTCTTTGCTGTCCTCCTGCTTCACCGAGTTAATGAAGGTGCTCTAAAGCCCTTTGATTTAAAAGCCTTATTTTGCTCAGGGTATTTTTGTTTGGTTTGGGTTTTTTCCCCTTTATTTATTTATTTCTTTAGGGGAGGCAGCAAAGCTGGGCTGTGCAGTGTCACTGTGCATAAATAACTCGCTGGGAGCACGGCGGAGCTCTGCCATCGCCGTGAGCTGCCTTAGCCCAGAGCAGCCTGAAATGTTAATGGAATTGTTTTGTGCACTTACTGGACATGATATTGTTACCAGGAGGTCTCCAATCTTGCCTGCATGCTGCAGTCAGCCACAATTCCTCTCTGCAGCTATGCAGGGGCCTATTGCACATCAGCATTTCCATTTCTGAAAGGACAAGGGATGTTTAGAGGGATAATGAAATGGGAGTGTGTGTTCAGCCCAGGCCTCCCCAGAAGGGGGGAATTTGCACTGTTTCTTTACCTGCTTCCACAGCATCCCTGTTTTCCCTGGAAGGGCTGGCCACTGGGAGGGAGGGAGGGAGGGAGGGAGGGAGAAGGTGGTGAGGGGCTGGACACCCACAAGTGGAAAACAAGAGCCCTCCTGCCCCATCAGGCAAGGTGAGAAGGAGCCCTCCCTGCTGCTGAGTGCGTTTGGTGAGGAGTTCTGATGGATCAGGAGTACGGGTGGCATCAAAGCTGGGGAAAAGCTTTGTGTAAACCAGTCCCTGCTACTGGTGATCCTGCATGGAGCAGCCTGCCATGGCAGCTGGGGAGAGGAGCCAGCCCCAAACTTCCTGGTGCCCAGGGAGCTGCTGCTCACAGCCTGATGCTCCTTGGCAGGATTTTTAGGGCTGCAGAGTGCTCAGCCCAAGGTGTGGGGCTGCTGAGGAGCCACCTGAGAGGACAAGCTGCAGCGGGCATTTCCCACTCTGGAGTACTGCCCCCCATCCTGTGGGCTGGATCCAGGACCTGCTCCATCCCTGGGACAGCAGGAACACCTCTGGTGTCTGCACAGTGGCCATGAGGGACTGGGGAGGTTCAGCTGTAAGTGTGAGGAGCCCTCATCCAACATCCAAACTGCGACACCCATCCCTGTCATCGGCCACCTGAGCACTGCTAAAGAAACACCTACCTCTGGTTTGGATTCCTTGTTTAAATTTAGGTCTAAACCCCTTTTTCTGTCCCCTCTGGCCATTTCCTGGGGCACTGGTACCTGCTGCATTCCCCTTCCTGCTTGCATGCCAGGAAAGCTTTCACAGGGCTTTGAGCTGCTCGTGTGCAGTGCCGGTGTTTTGGGGAGAGCAGCGTGTTCCTGCACCACCTAAGGGGGTCTTGCTCCCTGGTGGGGCATTTTCCCACCCTCCAATTGCTTTGAGAAAATGTGGGGGTTTTCCCACTTGAGCTCTAGGGAGATTCTGCAGCTCTATTTCACAGTAAGTAAACCACAGTATGGTAAAAAATGTGCATTTTAGTAACACCGAGGCTCGTTCTGCTCTTAGCAGAGCTTCAGTGACAGGATCTGCTGTGCTGGCTGATACACCAGCATGGAAGGGTTTTTCATAGATCCTAAATTGTGTTTGTGGATCTACAAAGCTCAGGAGGGAGTTTTTCCTTCTCAGTCCAAGCAAAATTGCCTTGGCAAGGGAGGCCTGTGACAGGAATCCTGCCAGAGCACGATACCCTGAGCTCTTTCATGCAGGGATGCTGGGATGCAGCAGGAGTGATTCTGCTCCCCAGGAGCATCTTTGGGGAGTGAATTATCATTTTTATTCTTCCTGCAGAAATAAATTTAAATATAAATTCTTCCTGCTTGCTTCTGGTGCTACAACGGTTCGACTGGGTTAGCACGATGCCCAATTTTCAACCAGGGGAATTGATGGGGATTGATGATGAGGAGGAGGAGGAGAACTCAACCTGGGAATACCAAATCCACACTGCTGTGAGATCCTGGAAGTGCCCGTGGTCCTTGGGAGCCCCCGTGCTGGGGGCTCTGTTATTAACCCTGCAGGATTTCTGTGGGATTCATCAGCACCATCAAACCTTTTCCCGAATTTGCCTTGCAGGATCCTGTGGCTTTGCCTCTCCAAACACAGCCTCTCTCTTGCCTTTTGGGCTAATAAATTGACAAAAGCTATTTTACCAATACACCATTAAAATCTACTATCATGTGACGGGTATTGGTCTGCAACCAATGCTCTCTTCTTTTAAGAACCCTTCAGAAATGGGGTCTGAACTGGTACGAGCCTGAGTCCATGTAGCTAATGCATTTCTGTGAAATGTTCTGGTTTGATTTTTACAATAAATTGTACATTGCAGTGATAAACATGGTCCCTTTTTCCTTGTTCCAGCACTGCTTTGCCATTCTGGAAGATAAAGTACATTCTTTCCCTTCCTACTTCCGAAGCCAACTCTGTTTTGAAGTAGCATAAATCTTTCTTTGGAGATGGAGGATTTTGGATGGAGAACAAAGTCCAGCAGATTTTTAATTT